GGGGTGGGGTGGGGAGTGCAGAGAGTCTATAGGCTGATCTATTGTTTGGAAGCACCATAAGATTATGTCCTTTATGTACCATATAATTGTTCTTTTATTTTTTTTCTTTCTTGTACTTGTACTTGTGAAGGACGCTACTGCCCTTTCACACATTTTGTAACTTAGAAGTATATAATACAATCTCTTTAGGCGTGTGGTCAGATAAGACACATCCACATACATCCTCCTCCTTCCAGAATATGCCTTTGACATGATAGTGATAGGACCTTACACACCCCATGACCTACTTATTCCATTGAACATCAAAATCACATTGCTTTAGAACCTCTTCCAAAAAAATCCTCATGCACTAGATTGTAAGCTTTCTCCAAACCTAGCTTGCATGCCCATCCTTTCTGACTCAATGTCTTCATCATGTCTTCAAAGCATTCATTAACAATCAAACATTGGTTAATTATGTCCACCTTGAATGAATGCCTCTTGTTGTTGTGATATTATATGTTAGGGAGTACCTCCTTGAGCCCTGTTTTGTAGAGGCTACCTACTAAACTGATTGGCCTGAAGTCTTTAGGTATTTAGCATCCACTATTTTTGGGAATTAGAGCGACAAATGTGGCATTTTCTCCCAAATTAATGACTTTCTGACTCATAATGGTCATGCCTGTTAGATGGCTGTAATGGATTCTTGCAAGATTAAAGAAAATAGAGAGAAAGAAAACCTGGATACACAAACGGGTTCCTAGAATCATTTTAGGGCAATGGGAATCACTCAACACGCATAGCATAAGCTGTACTAAGATCACAAATAAACACCATTCCTTCATTGTCAAACATCCATACATATTTCTAGACTGTAGAACCATAAGAATCCAGTAGAACTCAAATACGGAAAATTACAAGTGCCACTCCTAATTTAATTCAAAGAAGACCTGATAACCCTTAAATTGATTATTCAAAAACTCTAAAATTATAAATACACAACATTTTTTTTTATAATTGAAAATTAATTTCATTAATCAAGAAGAATAAGGCTTTGCAAGCATCCCTTGGAGAGGCGTGAGATGCAGGCCTCTCCTAAACATTACAAGAGATCAGAAATAAAGATTACAAAGCTTCCCAAAAATACCCATCCCTAGAGGATCCCTGTTTAACAAGAGAATCAGCCAAAACATTACCCCCTACCCACCCACTGGACTCTAAACGTTATGTGTCTTGTTAAGGGTGGATATGCATGAGTCTGTGAAAGAGCATTAAATTTTTGTGCATGAGAAAGAGATAGGGAAAGTGATACACATTGTAGGTTTGAAGAAAAGAAGGTTTTAGTGCATTTAATTTGGAGAGAAATTTTTTTTTTAGCGTAAGTATTTATATGGAGACAAACAGGGAAATAAGGAATACATACTACAGATTTCTCAAACATCAACAAGGAAATTGAACTAACCCATTGTTGGCAATATAAATGGTGTATTACCATGTTCATGTTTGGTTATCAAAAACTATAATCAAGAAACTAGTGCATAAAAATTAAAAGCACTTGTACCTTTTTCTAGGATTGAAATCCTATTTTCTAGGATTGAAATCCTATTTTCTAGGGAATATGTTATCTTAATGAAACACAGTTTAAGGGCTACCCCTCACCTAAAAGTAAAAGTAATGTTTCAAAGTGAAAACATCCCTCCTTAAGGGCAGTTCTGGCTAAGCTGTGTTTCACACTAGAAGAAAAGCTTCTACATATATTTCAAAGAAAGAAACTGTAAATGGATTTTAACATTAAAATAAATAAACAAGAGAAGTAGGAAAATGACCATCAAAATTTTGTGATGAGATCAATAAAAAAACAAATGAAAATTGAATTTATATTTATCTTTTGTGAAGAGGACTAACCGGGGTTGGGTGATCCTTGCCAGAGGAGACCATCAGTGGATGATTATGGTCCTTCATAAATTTGGTAACAATCCACTTCCCAGGCTTCTCTCTCTTTATCAGAATCATAGCCATGCAACCTTCCCTTTTGCTTTCTCTCTTCCTAATTTGGACACGCCCTATTTTCCGACTGTTCAGATTAAACCCCTCCTTATTACATGCAAGTCGACGGGATATAATTGATCCATCTCTCTCTGAACGACGGGAGGATACAATACGGGTTACAAATCCTACATGTCTGGCATATTCATCGTAGAAATTCTTAGCAGCCTCTTCAGATTCAAACACCATACCCTCATAGGGCTCGGGATTTGGATCACCTTCATAGACAGCTGAATCTGCTGCAGCAGATCTTTCTGTTGTTCCTGTGCCATCACCCACAGGATTCTCCAAATCCACTGCCACACAACATTACCAATTATCATCTTCTGCATGCCATAAAAATTCAATTGATTAAGGCTATGTATCTGAGAATTCTGTTGGTATTGAGTAAACAGCTGGCATGCCTGAAGACCACAGTTATGTTTCATAGAATGATTCTAGAGTCCAGACATAGCAAATTGGTAAGGATACAGGAACAAAATTTACTAAGACACAATTCAACCAGATCTACTTCATAGTCTTTTCATTTTTATAACAGTGAACTTCAGATTTTTTCTAGCTTTCATTGCAACTTTTAGAATTATGATGATAGGGGTTTAGCCTAAAAAACAATATTTGCTTCTTAAACAAGCGAAGGTTCCCATAAAGTCCTTGTTCAATGGTACCAAACATTCACTCTACAGCTAAATAAAAAAAACAATATAAGGTAATTTAGAAAATATAGAAAAAAATAAGTTGGAAATACTTTCAAAATTTCTGCACTATACTTAAGTAAGACCCATTTTGGATAAAAGCAATAAAAAAAAGTTTAAACTAGAAGTGCCAAAATATATTCAAAGGGTTTTTATGTGAAAATGAAGAACAATAGTTTTCCAGAAATCACCAAAAATATATCAGAAGTATTTCTGTACAAGCCCATATATTATTCTATCAACAAGGAAAATGCAAACCTCTCTACCAGGCTGCTCTATCCAACATTAAACATGTAAATATACGAAATATTGCATTTCCTATTTCCACTAATAAGTATATACCGCATAGTTTCCCAAAAAACGAAAGAAAAAATAAAAGAAAATTGGAGAAATTGAAGAGAAATAGAAAATCTGAAACTAGAAGTTCCTGTTACAGCAAAATATCCTTCGATGATAATTCGAAAGGGAAAAAAAAATAAAAGACCAAATTCATAGAGGCCTTTCGAATTCAAAATCGTGAAACCTAAATAAGTGTTGTATTTTGATAATTATCCATCCCGGATTTCATCTAAGACTTCTGAATTCCTGGTATTGAAATTCTGGTTGTTTGACTGGAGTTTTGAAATGAAATCTTAGGGCTTTTACAGTAACTTAAATTTATTTAATAAATATTTCGATTGGTATAGAATTTCCGTTAAGATGAAATGGGAAACAAAAGAAAAACTTACTTGATTTTAAGCTCTACTACCTTCTTCCTTCTGCTCTTCTCCTAGAGGAAGGAGGTTTAAGCGTCTAGACTCGAAGAAATTTTGAAAAGAGGGAAATTTTCTTTTCAGACTTCATAACAGACGACGGAGGGATGATTCGGTATATTGCTTTTTAAGTTAATGCAATACGTTAGCATATAATCAACGTAATCGTAAATTTGTAAGGCAATATCATATGTTACCATCCCAGCTCTGCACGCCTTACGATATCAACGGGTCGAGTTTGGTATAAGTTGGTTCAACCGAATACGACCCGAAGTTGCTCCAACCTAAATCTACCCGGATTTAAGCTCCGTTTGGTTTGTGGGATGAGAAGGGAGAGCCTCACCTTTCACGGATGGTATCCACGGTGACAATGGCTCATGTGCGAAACCTATATCTCGTTTCTTCCACTTACTCGTGGTAGGAGCAATTTGTAGAGATGGCAATTTGACCCGTCTTCATGGGGCTCTTCCTCACTCCACGTAGGAGCAAAGCAATTTATAGAGACAGCAATTTGACCCATTCTCATGCTTTAGTTTTCATTAAAAATAAATTAATATGTAATTACTAATTTACTCATTCTTATGGTGATGTGGCATTGACCCCAAACAGCTAAAGTTTTTTCTATTCTCATGGGGGCTCTTCCCCACTCCACCCTGGCTAGAGAAAGATTTATGTTTTGTGTTTTTGTTTTTGTTTTTTGGGTAAAATACAAAACCTCCCCTGAAGTTTCTGACAATCATAAAAATCTCCCCTATAGTTTCATTTTAACAAATACCTCCCCTGAACTTTTGAGAAGCTCAACAAAATCATTCCTTCCGTCATTGTCCCAAATAGAAAATGTTAGATTGATGCATCATTTTTTTTCAAATATCCATTCTACCCTTTTATAAATTATTTTACATATAAAACTACTGAAATAATCCCATTTTAACCCAAAAAAAAATATTTCAGTAATTCTGCATGTAAAATTTTTGAAATGATCATTTAAAGATGTTTTTGTTGAATTAAAATGGGATTACTTCAATAATTTTGTATATAAAATCATTTATAAAAGGTAAAATGGGTATTTGAAAAAAAACTGATGCATCAATCTAACATTTTCCGCTTGGGACAACGATGGAAGGGAGGTTTTTGTTGAATTTCTCAAAAGTTCAGAGGTATTTGTTAAAATGAAACTATAGGAGAGAATATTATGATTGTCAGAAACTTCAGGAGAGGTTTTTGTATTTTACCCTTTTTTTTTTTTTGTCGCAAGTCATGAGGTTGTATTTCACTAGTCCACCTACATTGTAGGGCAGGGGATCTGCAGAACAGAAAAAAAAAAAAGTCTGTACACTCCCAATCATTGCTTCAAACAATTTACAATCCCATTTATGTACTGGAAGTCTGGAACACAGCTTTGTTTCTGCTTACATTAATAAATCTATAAAAGATCAAGTTTTGCAGAATCAATTTTCCCCAGTTTAAAAACCCACAGGAAAACGCATCCGCAACTAACCTTTACTAAAAATGTTTTCACCAAAAACCGTTTTCCATGCTTCGTAAAATATCCACGCAAGCTCGAGCGATGCAATTCAAAGCTCCAGAGAACTCACCACCATTGTTGCTCGTGCAGCTTCCACGTAAAGAAAGATTTTGACCACATTGCTTCAATCTTAAAACTCCTACAGTGTTCTCCTATAGATATTATCCTCAAACTCATGGTGCCACAATATATTTATACAAGTTTGGGTATAAAGTGATTTGAAGACAGTTTAAATAAATAATATCCACAGATGACCATCAATGGTCAAAATGGTAATGCACACTCAATAAAATTGCTGGGGTTATCTATGCTGTGTAGGCTCTTGTTCCTCAGATTCAACTTCACGTACGTTGTTAACAACTAGTTGAACCTTCATTGATAGTTGTTCAGTATGGTCCTCAACATCTTTCATGAACATGAGTAGCTGTTCTCTATATGCAGCACATAAGCGCTTCTTACGCCGCAGCTCTGCAGTAAGCTCCTGAATTTTCTTATCCTTCTCATCCTTCAAATATGATCAAAGAAACATCAAAGAAATGGCTTAAACAGATGACAAATCCAAAAGAGAAATATATTTGTCAGATATAGTAATCTATCCTATCACTACCTCAAAGGAATTCTAGTCTTTCCACTATATATTTGTTATAGAGTGCAACCTAACCCTTCACCTAACATCCACTTTTATTTTCAATTTAATCAAACAACGGCATCTAATGGAGACCCATAAAATCAATTCAGCTGCAGATACATATTACTACAAAAGATATATGTTTAAACGGACATGCCAGCACTGTTTAAATCCTTAAGTAAAATCTTGCTAAAATAGTAGAAATATCATTTCTTCTTCAAGTCAATTAGCTAAGCACCCTAATCTTAGACAAATTGTGGTTGAGGGGGACATCATGTTGCTTGTGGGATGTAGGATGACGAATAAGCTTGGGACCCTGGGTGCATAGATAGATCGTGATTCATGAAGGAAATCTGTAAGACAGTAAAAGAAGTCGACGCCACCTTCAAATGGGTCAATAGATTTGCAAATTCTTTGGCACTCTCTTGCTAAACAAGGACATTTAGGGAACAGCTTTATTGGGCTTATGTGTTTATGTAGAACAAGTGGCTGAAATGTTCTTTAAGGTCCATGAGCACAAAGAAAGGAAGAGAGGCCAAAACAGGTGCTAACACTTCAAACAACCGTAAACAGAGTTGGCATCTTAGGTTGGCTTTGCAGTGAAATCACACATAATATTGTGGGAATCGCAGGGATGTCTTTGTAAATTTCTTTAAGTCTACTTTCCAACGCATCAAGCAGAACCAAAATTGGAATTTCTTATGCAAAGCCATGACCATTTTACAAAAGGTGCATTGCTGACTGCGGGAAAACCGAAAAACACTAATTTCAAGTTTTTGAGTCCAGATTAGATTAGCAAGTTTCCGTTTTGGTTAATATGAAGTTTTAGAAAGTTTGTGTCCAATTAGGAGTTTACTGTTTTAGTTGATGAGTTGCCTATAAATAAGACAATTGTCTTTGAGTTTTCTCTTGTGTGTTAGACAGTGTATGCCCTTAGCTCCAATTAGATTGATGTACAGATACATTTATTGTAAATGAATAAAAGTACATTATTGTTTCGTGTTGATATTGGTATGCTTCTGTGAAATTACCCCTTAAACTAGACATTTATGAGACTCGTATTAGTTTACAATTTTTTTATAAGTAAAGTCATATTCCATTAATTCAAAGAGCGGTTACATGAGAATCCCCTTAGAGAGGCGTGAGGTGCTGCCTCTCCATACAGAAAACACAAAAAACACAAAAACTACATAAAAAAAAATGTGTTAGTTTAGAATATTCTCAACCGTTGGATAGACTTGGGGAGTTTATCCTACAAAGGCTAACACTGATGTACTGCCAAAGAAATTGGGGCAGTTTGTCTCAGCTGCCAGGATTAAACCCAAAGCACATGCAGTGTGTGTTTGGTTGAAACACTAAACCCGGACCATTTTCTAGTTATGCCTTGGACCTTGGAAAATGATGGGCAAAACTAGAAAGTTACACATAACCCCTAGACTTGATTATGGTACTGCACTAAGTGTCAGATTGGGTTGTTTTTGATATGCCAATCAGTGAGATCCATTGTGGGTCAAAACCTGGGTATGTTGGGGTAGTATGAGAATTCACTTAAGTGGGTGATCATAGTGATAGGATCAACCCCTTTGTTGGACAAAGTGAATGGTAGAGTTTACACTCTCTGATGGAAACCTAAACTGCCAGTAGTGGATTTCAACTGTGTTTGAGATTTGGTTTTGCAATATATATATATATATATATATATATATATATATATATATATTATGTTTTATGAAAAAAATGTTTGCAAAAGGTTTTAATTCCCAGGATCCATCCAAATAGAGTGTAACACTGCACCTTGCAGCCAGGGGAGAGGTCATTCCCTGTTGGACAGTGTTCAATCATTATGAACCGAGAGGTTAAGTGTAAGAGACCATTACAGGGTTGATTTCCTGATGGGCTTTATCTTACTCAAGTCCATTATCCATGGGTCTTTATAGAATGGCTGAATTCAATGATCATTTAAGTGTAAATGTTGGGCCTATTTTGAGCCCATAGTGATGTGCTCAGGGGTTCATTGCTTTTAATAGTGAATTCGGCTAGGCCTTTTCACAGAGGCTGGGCTGAACCCATGTAGACTTATGTGAGGTCATTGTGAGGTCCCACGCCATACAAATCAGGCCTAAGTTGGCCATGCAACACCCTTGGGTCGTGAGCCTTATAGTTGATGGGCCTAAAGCCCATAATTAATATGATTAATTAAGCTATCACATAACAACTAGAGTGAATCTCGGTTTGGAAATGGGTATGGAGCACCTATCCTCTTAAATAGATAAGGTTTATTTCTTAATAGAGTCCAGATCTATATTAGATTTGGATAATCTCCTAATTTGATTAGGAGAAGTTCTCCATAAAGTGATAAAAGAAGAAGAGGGCGAACTGATCAAGAACACCTCTCTCAATTCTATTCTCTCTTCTTCTTTTGTCTTCCAGGAAACCCTAGTTCGACTACAACTTATTTGGGACTAATAGAGATCAGTTTTCCTATGATTTTTGTAAGAAAAATCCAGAGAAATTTTGTGCTCACCTCCCCAGTTTGATCCAAGTAGTTGGGTTGCAATTTTGCTGAAAACTACGTTACTGAACTGGTTTCAGGAGTACACTCTTCAGCGGAGGCTGGTTTTAGGACTAATTTGGGCATGAACTTCCACCTTGGGGTTTGCGTTTTTGGTATCCGTACTAGGTATATATCTCCCTCTTTGTTTGGTTTCAAATCTGGTCCGGTTCAGTGCAAGATCAATCATTGAAAAATGCAGTTTTTCGAAACATAGGGAATTCGATTCCCAGAAAGATTAGAAAATTTTTGAAATTTCGCCCAACCATCTAGCATGGTTCGGCCATCCATATGATGGATCCTAACCCTTCCTTCATTGTGCTCCTTGTGGATTCAAGGATTGTTTTTCTTTGAAGAAGATGGTGCTCTTCTTCCTTCCATGCTTCCTATTCTTCTTTAATTGGTATCAAAGCTTGAAATACTCAGGGTCAATGGTTGGCAACTTCAACAATGATGCTCATGGAGAATAACAGAACATTTCTACAGCTAACTTTGAGGCTTTCCAGAAAGAAATGCAGGCATTTCATGCACAAATCATGGAGGTTTTAAATCACTTTCAAAATCGTGACCAAGGCATGCAACAAACCATTGAAGTGGCTCATGGTTTACCTGTCCAGAATAACACTGCAAACCAACCCCCTAGACAAAACCATGTGGAGGGGAAGATTCAAGTGACAAAGAACTCGATGATCTTACCTGTAGAGCAAAGCAGAGATAGGCAAGATCAAGAATACAGAATGTATTCTTGTGGGAGGAGTTGCAGACCACAACAACTTGCCAAGGCAAGGCTGCCATTAGGTCATGGCATCTTATGAAGCAGCTGTTGAAAGCAAGATTCCTACCTCCAAACCATGATCAGATGCTATTGCAGCAATATCAGGATTGCAAACAAAGGAATAGGCCAGTATGTGAATACATAGAAGAATTCCTACAACTCTCTGCAAGTAACAACCTTTCTGAAACAGAATCACAGGTGGCAAGATGTGTTGATAGACTTCATCTTTCCATACAAGACTGAGTTGCATTATAGCTAGTCTGGTCTCTTACAGAGGCTACCAAACTAGCAGCTGGGTAGAGCTTCAATTAGAATGACCCAAAGCAGAGGACAGTAGCACTTGCAGACGAAGTAGAAGATGTCACTGATGATATGGATTATAGGGAAGAAGAAAAAGATGATTATGTGACACACAAAGATGAAAGCATTTGCTCTAGTAGTGCAGAGGTTGCTATACACATCAAAGTATTCAGAAGATCCCCAGTGCCAAAACATCTTCAAGACATGATGCACAATCAAAGGTCAAATATATGATCTTATCATAAACAGTGGTAGTAGTTCGAATCTCGTGTCACAGATGATGGTGGACAAATTGCAGATGAGATCACCCAACTCCATACACCATTGGCAGGTTTAAGGGCATAAATGGCACTAATGTAACAAAACAATGTTGCATTCCATTGTTTATTTGAAAATATTATGCAGATGTAGTATGTGATGTTATTGATATGGATGTGTAATGTGTTGTGTTGGTGCCTTGAATTCCAAGTGCGATCTAACTCCATGACCCAACCCAAACCAAGTTGAGAAAAACCTGAAGGAAAATTTTCATAGTGATCTGTGGTGGAAGCAAAGGGCTCAAAGATAGGTGGATTTCATAGCATATCCGATCTCACAGCTCATTTGGAACTTATGAGACTCCAGACTCATGAGTCTTCTGACCTTGCTGATCTCAGGATTGCGGACCGTTCCAATTAGGGTTTTCTCTCTATAAATAACCTTGTATTCTTGCATGAAAATTTATGTTGTATCTTGGAGTCCAAGAAAGGAAAACAAGAGAGTGTGTGAGAGACAAGGGAGCTTGAGCAGTGGGTGTATTGGGAGCTTGGGCTTTGGTGAGATGCTGCAAACTCTGTAACTGTAAATCTCCATTCCTGGTAGTGGACTTATTCTCCTTTGACACCCGTGGACATAGGCTATAAGCCAAACAACGTAAACCTTTGTGTGTATTTTGTGTGCTCTGTTTTGCGTTTTTCATCTACTTTCTCTTCTTGCCAATCTGTTTTATTATTCCTAGGTTTGTTAGAACCTCAACAGTATGCATGGCATTTACTGTTTCAAAAACATTGGCAATACAATGTACATGCTACTCATAGGGACAAAACCAATCACTATACCTTTATAAAAGATGGCAAGAAAATTACCCTAGCCCCCATGAAAGGAACATACAAACCCAAAACTTATAAAGTGGAGGGGAAGTTTTTTCTTAGTTTCTACTAAATTTGAAGATGATTTGAAAGAATAGGGGAGATATATGCTTCAGTGGTTTAG